AATGCAGGTTATCAGTGTAAAATCAGCGAACTTGTGTGGTAGCACTCTCTGCTACAACCATACTTCAAGCCGCCATCTTGAAAAAACCAGAAAAGCTGCATTTAATCACATATATATTTTTTATTTCACATTCTTTCTCATCGAGACACGAGGTCTCATTTCTAAGAGTGACCGGTTTTAAATATCCATACAAAACTGCAGCATGTTAAAACATACTACAGTCAATTCTACAGTATTCCTAAGTACTCGATGAGTTGTTGCTGTGGTTACTGAAAATCTCTCTTCCTGCCCACCAAAGGTTAAGTGTAAGTTTGGCAAACAGAGGTCGAGATTATGAGCTTATGTGCTGCATCCTGCTTGTGGTCAAGCACCCACACGAGTGTAGTAATACTGAGGAAAGACTGTGATTTAGAAAAAGCCCTGAGGAAGTTTTCACATCCTGTAGCTGCTCAAACAGATCATCCAAATATAAAAATATTGCATGGAAACTGTCCACTTGGACAAGTTCCTAAAACACGCTTGGCACACAACCAGAGTGAAATCAGACGGCTTCAGCAGGAAAACATTTATTGAATTGCAAGCGAGCAGCCCAAAGCAGGGAGTCATTCCAAAAAGAATCAGTTTGTGCCTTCCACTCCCAACACTTATAAAAATCTGCTGTGATTTGTATTCCTCAGCCAGGTACTCTGTGGAGGGTGGAAACAAGTGTCAGGTTTAATTTGTGACACAAGGACAGCAGCAAGAGTGAAAGAGAGGTTTAAAGATGGCAGTGAGACCTGCTGTCATGGTTTGGAGACGGTGACACTGAAACATAGACAGGAGGCCAAGCTGGAGGTATTCTGATGTTCATTCAGAGTGAGCGGGATGGACGTGACTGCATGAAAGTTGTTCAGCTGTTTGAGTTGTGGCCTGTAAGTTGAATACACCCTCAGGTCTTCCATGCGTTGGCACGGACACTTGAGTATAAACACTTAAATGCAGTGGGGCAGCAGTCAAAGCAGTTTTTTTAAATCTCCATTTTCAGTGACCCAAAACGCCGCTTACGTGTGGGCGAAAAGCCCAAAAGCATAGAAAAAGCTGCATTTTTTAAAAATACCCCACCCAATCTGTGCGTGTGTGACACCTCTCACAGTAAGTATCTGTATATTTTCTAATATATGTGTTGCTGGTGCTGTATGTTTATTGATGACTAATGCCATTATAGGAGTTTATGGTGTGTTGCTACAGCTTAAATCTTTCCCAAGGCATCAACTTAAAATTAGTGCCAGTGATCAGTTACAATATCCAGTACTGTGGGCTCACAGACACACAGGGTCACAAAAAACTAAAGAGAAAACCACAAATGAAAAGGTCACAGCTCTCACTCATCTAGCCACTGCGCTTTGATGTGTTTACTGCTGTTCTCCAGACTTAAAGGTCACTCAGCTTGTCCTGTTGTGGAAAAGATCTCAGCTTTTTGGACAAACTTGGCTCCAAAGCCTGAACTGAATGAGCGGTTGAGTGGTTGAGAAAATTGATAGGTAGTAGTTAAATCTGGTAAACATCAGTAGCTGATGCATCATTTCTTTTGGTTGTGTTGAGGTTGAGTTGCATTAGTGCCTTAAATCTGCATTCTGCCTGTTGACCACCAGGGGGCGACTCCCCTGGGTACAAGAAGAAGTCAGACTGTATAAAAGTCTATGAGAAAATAACACTATTGGTCTAATGCTACAGTCACAATAAGGAAAACAGTGACTTCACTGCAGAACAATCAAAATGATAGCAAAAGTGATTGTGTGTGCAATGAGCTCTCCTTGTTGAAAGCTGAAATGGGGACGGGAACCAGGCCTTTGACCACTCATAGCTAGTTACCATCTTCAAAATGACCTCATCATCGTAAAACAGGAATAAGAAGGACTCCGTCTGCGATTAGTTTGGACTGAATGGAGCCAGGTTTGCAATCCATCAGCGATAAATCAGTGAAAATCCCAAATCTGTCTACAAAAGAAAACATACATTAACTACTTCAAGCAAGAACCTCAGATGTGAAACAGAAATTTAAACAGTGACTTAGTTGCTGCAGGACAGCAATTTAAGTGCAAACATGAGTGCTCAGCAACTTTGGTTTGATATAGCAATGTAACCAAAACACAGGTTGCTGCAAACCAGCTGAGTCGAGTCCTGTACTGCAGAAAGAGAAGACGAGTCGAGCTCATCGGTTTAGACTGACTCAGACTGACTGTAACATTTGGCAATCTGTGTTTATAAATTAGTGACTGCGGTCGGTCTGAGTTGTGATAGTTTGCAGACTTTTTGATCAAGTGGTTTTGCACGCTCATACAATAACCAGTTGGTCACAGTAAACACTGTGCAAATACTTCTTTAATATTTAAAAAAGAGTTCATTCTGTAAATTACGGTTATAATTAATGGAAATGGGAGGATATAGATGGAGTTGTTTAGGGCTACTAAAAACTGTTTACTGTAAGCAGTGTTTCCAGTTCAAAACAAAAGATGATGAAAAACAGTAAATGTGACGTTCTCTTAGTGTTGCTCACACTATTTGTGTTCATACGTTAACCATAGTGAGAGACGTTAGTGTTTATTGTGCCTAGGAAATTCTGTATTTTGAGTCAAGGGTCAAGGGTGTGCTTTCATTTAAGTTTCTGAGTGAATCTTTGGTTTCGTAATTTCCTCAGAAGAGCTTTATTAATCCCTCGGGTGGGTTCCTCTGGGAAATTTGGTTTCCAAAAAAGCACAGCACCGACAGAAGTTACAGAGT